TTGAGGTGCCCAAAACTGGACACAATACTCGAGGTGTGGCCTCACCAGTGCTGAGTACAGGGGCACAATCACCTCCCTACTTCTGCTGGTCACACTATTTTTGATACAAGCCAGAATGCCGTTGGCTTTCTTGGCCACCTGGGCACACTGCCGGCTCATATTCAGCCATTTGTCAACTAGAACCCCCAGGTCTCTTTCTTCCAGGCAGCTTTCCAGCCACACTTCCCCGAGCCTGTAGCGCTGCATGGGGTTATTGTGGCTGCGTTGGGCTGTGGGGACTCAGGGAGGTACCCTTGGAGCTGAGGTGGGGCTCAAGGGGGTGCCCCATGGGGCTGAGGTGGCTGTGGAGCTTGGGGAGATGGCTCATGGAGCTGCTGTGGTGTTTAGAGGGATGCCCCATGGGCTGAGGTGGCTGCTGGGCTTGGAGAGATGCTCTATGGATCTGTTGAGGGCTTGAGGGAAATGTCCCATGAAGCTGAGGTGGTGTCTGTGAGGCTTGGAGAGGTGCCCCGTGGAGTTGCTATGGAGCTCAGAGGAGCACTCCATGGGGCTGAGGTGGATGTGGGCTCAGAGGGATGCCCTGTGGAGCTGCTGTGGAGCTTAGAGGGATCCTCCATGGAACTCAAGTGGCTGTGGAGGCTTGGGGGCATGCCCCATGGAGCTGCTGTGGGGCTCAAGGGGGTGCCCCATGGGGCTGAGGTGGCTGTGGGGATTAGGGGATGCCCTGTGGAGTTGCTGTGGGGCTTGGAGATATGCTCTGTGGAGCTATTGGGCTCAGGGGAATGTCTGATGGGGCTGAGGTGACTGTAGGGCTTGGGGAGATGGCCCATGGAGCTGCTGTGGTGTTTAGAGGGATGCCCCATGGAGCTGAGGTCTCTGGGGGGTCTTGGGGACGTGCTCTATGGATCTGTTGAGGGTTTGAGGGGATGCCCCATGGAGCTGAGGTGGTTTCTCTGGCACTTGTAAAAATCCCCCATGGAGCTGCTATGGAGCTCAGAGGAGTGTCCCATGGGGCTGAGGTGGATGTGGGGCTCAGGGGGGTGCCCCATGGAGCTGCTGTGAAGCTCGGGAAGATGCCCCATGGGGCTGAGGTGGCTGTGGGGCTTGGGGGATGCCCTGTAGAGTTGCTGTGGGGCTTGAAGATATGCCCTGTGGAGCTGTTGTAGGGGTGAGGGGAATGTGTGATGGAGCTGAGGTGTCTGTGGAGCTTGGAGACATGCCCCATGGAGCTTCTGTAGGGTTCAGAGGCATGACCCATGGGGCTGAGGTGGGCTTTGGGGCTCAAGGGGAAGCACCATGGGTGTTGACTGCCAAAGGGGACGTCTCCTTTCCTGGCCCCATGGCAGCCACAGGTGGGTACTTGGGAAAGGGATCTAGCAAAAACCGGTGGGATTTGATCCCGTGCCTGTTCCTGCCTGTTGTGGGTAGCAGAGTTATCCTCCCTCACTCCATTTCATCAGCCAAATATTTGACCATGTGTTCTTATACTTCCCAAGAAGCTTGTTGTGACACTTCTGCCAATTTTTAAATGCTGCGTGGTTTTTCGTTCGGTTTGGACTTTTTTTTTCTCCCCAACCCTGACCATCCCCTTCCTCACACATCCCTCTCCCCGCCAAACCCTGCTGACCACCCCCTCCCTCAGACATAGGCCTCTCCAAACACTGCTGACCAGACCTTCCCCACACACAGCCGCCCCCCCTACGCCTAGCGACCGGGCTTCCCCTCTCCATCCCCTCACCACCCAGAGGTTCAGGCCATCCCGGGCCTCCCCAGCACCCCCTTGGCCGACGGCGGCCGGGCCCGCGCTCCCCTCAGAGAGGCCGCCACCACAGCACCGCCCGCCGCGGCCTCCCCACGCAGGCCCCGCTCGGTGCCCAGCGCAGGCCCGGCAGCCCGGGTACGGCCCAGGGTGAAAGCCGGGAAGCGAAGCCGGGACTCACTCGGGCAGGTAGGTGGAAGAAAAGCTGCTCCAGCGGTGCAGGGTGTAGCCCAACACCCGGCTCTCGGGGCCCGCCGGCCCCGCCGCCGCCATCTTGTTGTCAGCAGCGGCAGCCGCGGCCCCGGCAGCGACCGCGGGGGGCGGGGCCGCGCTCTTAAAGGGGCCGCGCGGGCGGGAGGCGGCCTGAGGTGGGCCGTGCTGTGGGGGGGTTCCATGGGGAGCTGTGGGTTCCTGTGGGGAGAGACACACTGTGGGGCTCCTGTGGAGTGTGGGGGCCTAGGGGTGATACGCCGTGGAGCTTGGGGGGGAGGTGATATAGAATCATAGAATCATACGTCTAGGTTGGAAGAGACCCTTGGGATCATCGAGTCCAACCATCTACCCTACTCTACAAAGTCCTCCCCTACACCATGTCCCTTAGCACTGCATCTAAACGGCCCTT